GCAAGGCTGAATAGGAAAATTATGCCATCAATAGGCACAGGATGAAAACCAACTTTCAAACTGAAAAGATATAAAAACTCAATGCCTGAAAATCCTTCTTTATAGCTAGTTGGGGGAAACCTTGCTGAATGTCACTCGTTTTGGTCCTCCATCATTAAAGGTCTTCTTTCTGGCAGCTTATTTCTTCATTCAGTTTGTTCTTTGAAGTGCTGATCACAACACCCCAGTTGGAAGAGCCCACCTGGGGAATGTTTCTTCCCACAGAAGCATGAAAAATGTCTGTAAATATTGTGTAAGTCAAGGCTGTCAAAACCCCAGCCTGTGAGCCGGATGCGTCACATGCTGGCCATGCCCATGCCTGGTTTAGCGATGGGGGGAAAGTCCCAATACGTCACATGATGCCTCCGAGTTTGACATCCTTGGTGTAAGTGAAGCTGCTAGCTGAAGTGCTTCAAAGGTTGGCATTGTAGAATAGATCAATGTTTCTCAATCTCAGCAATTTTAAAATGTATGAACTACAACTCTCAGAATTTCCCAATGAGCATTCTGGCTGGGAAATTCTGGGAGTCAAAGTCCATACTTCTTAAATTTTTTGAGGTTGAGAAACACTCTTCTAGATAACTTTCTGTTGCTATGGAGAGCTTTAGAAGAGGTTACCAGTACCTTGAATTGCATCCAGAAGCCAATTGGCAACCAGTGCAGCTCACAGAGTAATGAATGGTGTTACATAAGGATATGAAGATATACCCAGAAATGTCTGTGCCACTGGATTAGCTACAGTTTCTGAGAATTCATGTAGAGCACATTGTAGTAGTCTATCTATGAGATAACTAGGGCATGAGTTACTATCTGGAACAGGGGTCGCCAACCTTTTGGACCTCACGGACCACCAAACTCATAATTTTAAATCCCAGGGACCACTAATATGAATTTTGACTGACGGTGGCTTGCTGACATTGGTGGGAGAGAGAGAGAGAGAGAGAGATCTAACTTCTCTCTCTTTCCCTCCCTCCTTCCCTCCCTCCCTCTCTCTCTCTCTCACACACATACACATACAAAGCAGGGGTGGGATTCAAATTTCTTAACAACTGGTTCTGTGGGTGTGGCCTGATTTGTGGGAGTGGCTTGGTCACCATGTGACTGGCTGGGCATGGCTTGTATGTAAATATTTCTATAAATACTGGTTTTTTTTATAAAAAAAGAGCAAGTTTTACCCAAAATCAGGCAAACTGAGTTGCTTACGGAATCACAGATTCATTCAGAGATCTGTGAGATCGGCTACCTGAGCCTGTCACATAAAATTTGCTTACAAGCAAACCCATAAAATTTGCTAGCAAGAAAACTCACAAAATAAAATCACAACACACCATGTATGTAAATATTGAATTGAAAACTTTGATAAAATTAGGTATTGCTGATACACAACACCAATTAAATTGTCAAAATAGTATAAAAAAATTTCAACTTTTGTTGGAAATGTAATCAAACTGGGGGAATATTTTTTATATTTGGTGGACATGTAACAAAGCTAGAAAAATGGCAATCAAGTATGTATTCTGGTACAGAACAATTTTAAAAATGTATGAAACCATAAACTTTTTCTTTGGGTTTGATGGACATACATATGGAAAAATTGTATGAAATTATTTTATAAAGGAAGGTGACATTACTCTTCTGTGTGATTTTTTAAAATTTGTTTTCATCCAAAAAGATTTAACCTTGATTGTAATTCTCTTGGAAATTATCTAAATACATAGATGATGGTTAATGTAAACAAATTCCAGTTTAGTTTTATTGATTGTGAGGCATTTGCCATGAGAGCTCAGCAAATAAGGAAGTTGGATTTATAACACGTTTCCTTAAAGTTTATGAAGCAGTAAACAACTTCTCACTGAATGCCTCTTTAACTGGAATTGCCCACAAAATCTCAAGGCTAATTACTGTAGATACATTCAAGATCAAAATTAGAATTCTATATAGGTTTCCGACATACATTCTTTTGAGTATATGGATGACTACTGTTCCCCTTCTTTACACAGAATTTCTTTTAATTGCATTATTTACAACTAGGGTATGCATTCATATGTTTCTGAAAACCAGAGACTAAGATCTAAATAAGAGCATCTGCCAGGAGAGAGTTATAAAAAAACCTGATGTTGTGATTAAAGCTCTGCTTCTTTTAACTTACATGCCATATACACATAAATACCTATTAGTACAGCTTTGACGTGGTATATAATAAACATTATCTTATTGTTTTTCAGGGCTGTATTATTGACAGATGAAACTAACATATAACTGCATTGAAGTATAAAGATTCCTGTTGGGTATAACATTGATACACCAACTAAGTTTGGGTGAATAAATATATAAACCAAGGTTTGGGTGTTTGTAACTTGTAGCTTTAAGCACCAAACTGCTTGTAATTAACTAATTAGGTGTGCGGTTACAAACGGCAATAAAAGGCAGTAAGAGAAACGTAACTCTCTCTCTGCTTGTTTGGTCTGCTTGCTACTGTTTGTTTGCTACTGTTTGCTACAACTGTTTGAATACCTGAACGAAAGGACTATTTCATTGATGTGCTGATATCCTGTGAATACTCAGCGTTGTCTTCAAAAGGAAAGGTATCAGAGGAGAAGATATCTTTACAAGCAGATAAGGATATAGAACTGACTAGTGAATGGACTAAGTTACTGAATGGATATATTTGTGAATAACATATGGACTGATTGACAATGTTTAAACTCTAATTGGATTAAACAACTATTTAAACTACAAAAACAGTGTTTGTCATCAGTGTGTGTAAACTCTAGGGCCCTTCCTCTCTCATTTGGCTGCCTGGCTTGACTGCTGCTGCACATTCTGTTTGGGGGTTTGTCCCCAATCACTAACAATTCCTATATCTACCTCCTGTCCAGAGAGGAAAAAAATAAAAAATAGTAAACACATATTTAGAATACTATACTACATGCAATCCATTCTTGTGTATTTTATGATGTCCATATGACACCAGTATACATTAGATATATATATATATATTAACTTATAATCCAAATAAACATAATATGGATACTAGTAAAAACTTCTTACATCTAGGTATGAGTCAAGTGGGAAGAAGGGGAAATAAACACAGAGAAACTTGTCTGAGTCTGAAAGAAAAAAGTATGGATGGAAAGTAAAAAAAGAAAAATGTAGATTGAATGAAAAATAATTCACACAGAAAATTGCACTTTGAGTCTTATTTTAATGTAGAACTATTAATATTCTTATAGGATTAATGGAGCTATTGTGGTACAGTGGTTAGAATGCAGTATTGCTGGCTAATTCTGCAGACCGCTAAGTAGTTCAATCATTAGAAAGACACTTTCTTGGCCTTCCACAATTAACGCTACTTCTATCAGTATAAGACTATAATCATTATCAATCTTCGTCAGATTACAAATTACATTTAAAACATCTCTATTTAATTTAATCAGTTTAAATAAATAATTTAACAAATAATTAAAATCAGTACTGTCTCAGTAAAAATCACCCTCTGCAATAAAGAGGGTTTTCTCTTGTTTCTTAAAGAAAAAAAACTAGTCAAACCCAATTTTTTATTAATGAACCTATAAACAAGAAGAAAACATCCCCAGAATTTTTTTATTGTATTTTGAAAAAACAAAAAATGACTAAAATAAACTGAACAAAAAGGGAGAAAAGGGGAAGGGGGGAAATCCACATAATATTAACATTAATCAATTAAATCTACATCATATTGGAAAACAATTTCTAGACCATATAGAAACATAGCTCCGTCCACTTATTTTTAGTAGTAAACCACCTAGTGGCTTAGAATATAAACACATTTCAAAACTTGATAGCAAAACCCTGAATTATTTGTTAACATAGAAAATAAGTTTATTTTTATTTACGTAACTATTATTTTCTTTGCTCAGCCACAAATAAATTCCATGTTTTAATAATATAATTCAACATAATATTTATATGTGGATGCTTGCAGGATATAGTGAGCCCAATAGACCCACTCTACCTACTCTGTCTGATAAATAAATTCAAACAACAATTTGAATTACAGAACAACCAACAACATTTGGATTGTTTTTACTGGCACTTCTTCCTTATGGGTCTTTGGGGAAGTATTTTTAATGAATGCAATGTATTCGTTATTTTTTATTTATAAGTACTGTATACAGGCATTTAATTTATTGATTTATATTATATCATCCAATTTATCTCAGCTTGCTCAACCTGCAGCTCAGGTGTTAAACATTAAAGGGCATCTTTAAAAGGCGAGTTCTCCATTATTTTAATATTCTATTCCTGAATCAGACAAAGGACCTTTGAAATAGAGGGCAACATTGAAGTAGATGGACAACATTGAAGTAGATGGACACCATTTTGCATGTTTGCCCAAAATTCTTTTCTAATGTAATCTTTCTTTGTGTTCCATCAAATCTTCTATTTGTATATTGAACTGAAATTCCTCCGTTTTGCTTTCATCTTCTTTGCACAAATAGGTAACCTTCTCTCTTTTCAGTTTTATTTGAACTGCCTACATATTTATTTTTTAATAATTTGAACATTCATTCTTTTTCTATTCCCTCAACCCCACTTTTAAGTGACTTCATTTTTGCAATTAATATCTTGGGGTATTGAGTTTGATTCTCAGGACTTGCTCCTCTGTCTTTCAACCCCTCTCCATAAAAATAAAAATTATTAGTTTAAGAACATTTTATTGGATGGATGAAAAGGAGGGTGGATGGGTGGATCAGACAGATAGACATAGACAGACAGTTTAGTTTGAAATTTTTATGTAATAGGGTTTTACCCAAGGAAACCATGAAAGCTGGGGAGGAGAGAGAGGTGGTTAGAAATATTTCAATAGTTCAATGTGAATAAAACCACTTTACATATTATTAGATAATTTTAGGCAAAGCATTAAATGTATCTTTAGTAAATGTTTTAGACCATTCTTTTCCTCTATTCCCCAAGGTTTGGTCCAATGAATCACTGTGAATGTTCACAAACTGGCAAATTGACCATCTATCAACTGGAAAACTATATAGATAAAGATAAACTTGAATTCATAAGGCATAGACATGAGAAGGAATTCAAACATTATCAGACAAAGTACCCATCCAGTGTTGTAAATGAGACTCAAATAATAGAACAGGCTCTCATGGGTCAGAATTTTCTTGATGAATTTTCTTTTTTTTTTTCCTAACATACAAAGGGTTCAAATATTTCAGTTAATCTTTGGGACAAGAATTTACAGCTGTGTTTCTGAAGATAGCATGCCCATTGGATTTGTGTTTCCATCTGAAATAATCTGACCTGTGTAGCCATGATTTTGAATTGCAGAGTTTCCAGAATAATTATACATATTATTACCCCACTTCAGAGTAGGAAAGTTGTAAAGAATTCTTTTTTCAAAAAATGAGAAAGTTTTTATGAAGGAAATTCAAAAGTATAGAGTAACATTTTACTCAAATATTAGTTCATCATTGTTATTAAATTTAACAACACTTTCATATTGCTTCCCTTTAAAAAAAGATTCTGATCTAAATATCTTTGGCTTTTTAATTGTCAATTAAGTAATACAAGTATGCACGTTGAACTGGTTTGTTGTATGTTCATGTTTTGTATGTTAAGAGGACAGAATCTGGTGTTAGGAAAACCTGATCCCCAAACCATGGAATTTTGGACCTCTGTCTAACCTAGTTCAAGAGAAAATCCAAAACATCTAGTACATCTAAAACATTTGGATTTTCACAAAACAATATAGATATGAGTTCTAGTACAACTCCCTTTTTCATAACTGTTTATGCTGACTTTTAAAGAATCTTCTCTTTTTATTTACTTTGCCTTAGGCATCCATTTGAGAAAAAAGATATCCTTTAACCAAATATTCCTTTGAGCTATCCCATTCAAGAGGCTGAGGTGATGCCCTCGCACACCATTGTACTTCCAGGTAAGTCAAGTTTACTGCCCAAAGGTTTTAGCTGGCTGTGAAAGGCAAACATTTCTACTTTGCTGGCTGGAGTTACTTTTCCCTCCAGAGATAAATGATTATTGAAAGACTGGATGATCTGTATTTACCATCCACTATTTGACTTTACAAGAGAAAGTAGATGTGATGGTGTATAAAAATGAGACTGAAAAACTAACTGAAAAAGTAAAACTAGAAAATATGATCTTCTGTGACTGAAATCTCAAAAGGCTGCAGTGACCGCCCAGTCTCTCTGTCTTACAGATTACACTTGTTAGCAAAATGAATCCTGTGAAATAGGGACTCTTGGTTGTTTCAAGATGTTTTTGATTAAGACCATAAGTTGCTCCCACCTTGAAAGTATGGTGTCACCTACCAGCTCTTTCCACTGGTGAGGCTCCCAAAAGTTCCAGTGGTCAATGGTATCAGTCAAAGTGTACTAAAAGCAAAACACATTATTTGGCTTTTTATTTATCATTGAAATAAGAGTTTCTTTTTTTTTCTTTTTAAGGGCTAGGTTTCCATGGAACAAGTAGAGAAACTTTAAAGGTAACGTAGCTTTCTCAGGTTTTGGAACATGCAGTGTCATTCTAGACTTCCAGAAAAGAGAGTTTTTGCTTTGTGCGTGCATGTGAGTCAGTGGTGCCTCCTAGCTTGTGACTCTGCAGTTTTCTTGGCAAGATTTTCAAAGTGGTTTGCCATTGCTTCTTCCTGGGGCTGAAAGAGAGAGACTGGCCCAAGATCGCCCTCTGTCTTTGTGCCTAAGATGTTTTGTGTAATATTTGAAATAATTGAATAATACATCTTACTTCAAATGCATTTTATCATTTTCGTTTCAATGGTACTGCCCTCAGTAGAGCATCCCAGATCTGTAGCATGTCTTTTACCTTTGCCCCAGGTTTTGCTGTACTCTCTGATAGTTTACTTGACGCAAACTGGTTGTCTAATGGCCTAGAGCAGCTGATTTGGCCTTTCCTCTATGGCAGTTCATGAGTAAGAAATATTTTGAGAATGATGGTATGTTTGTAAAATAAAAGGCTTTGAAATCCCTTCTGTTCCTCCCAGTTATGAATAGTGGGTTATAAAAGCCACATTCCACAACCTAAGCACCCAATAGATGTAGAATTCAATTCTTAGAATTCCCAGCTAGCACAGCAATTGGTGAGGGTTGTTGGAGTTTATCTAAATGTCTGAAAGGCTAGAGGGTAGAGAAAGTGCTCTCCATCTGTGAAAACAAATTTCCAGGAACAGGAGAAGACAGCTATGTCTCTGGAAGCATAGATGCACAAGATCTAGGTCCCTTTGTGAGATTTGTGAAACAATGGCTAGTGTCAGGCTCCCCTATTAGGACTAGGCAGTAAATCATAGATCTCTGAACCCCTAATGACAACTCAATACCTACCTTGGCTTGATTCAGCATAAAACTTGTAAATATAGTTCAGGATGGAAAATAATTTTCATTGCAGACAAGAATGCGATCACACAAAACAAACGTCCACTGCCTATGAGAGGGTGCAAATGACTAGTAATACAAATACTGTAGTTCTCTATTAATTTCAGTAATGGGGTCTGGAATTTCTATCGCTAAGTAAAAATGTCATGTGATCGTGCCACAGTTCTGTCACAGCCTTTGTAGACATTACAGGAGGGAAGCTACGATGGCAAGAAATCAGTGGGAGTCTGTAGTATTGTTTTCCCCCAACTTACAAATTTTATTAAATAGTGTCAGCATTTATGAGTGGCAACTCAGATTATTTGATGCACTCTATGCATCTGATCACTGGTGTGGCAAGAAATACCATCATGGGACAGAGTTCCTGTTTTTTTCCAGAAAGTATCATTAAAAACAATGCCTTTGGGACTCTGGGGAAAAGAATCACTTATAAAGGGGACTGCTCAATACTGTGACAATGTAAAGGTCCTTGTCCATTTTATATCTGAATGATAGAAGAATGGATAAGCATATATGATCACTATATGAAACTATTTGAAATTTTCTCTTCCCGGTTGCACATGGCTTGTTGGGTTTTAGCATTTTTGAAGTTTCCATATATCTGTTCTTCAGCAAAAAATGAAACTGAAAAAAAAAGAAAAGCCAAGAAGGGCTTTTCTCAATGGGCCTGACAATTTCCTAGATCAGGTTAAAAGTATTTTTACTGTGAGTGTATTAAAGATGACTAAAGTTTATGTATATATGTAAATTTGTATTATTCTTTATGTTTGTCATTTGTTGATGTAAGATAAGCAGGTGTATCGGGATGTATGCACCATGTTCACTGTTTTTAAATGTTTTTCCTTTTTGTTTGATTAATAAAAAATTTAAAAAAAAATAACCAAAGGAAATTAACTGCCATTTTTCAAGGTCAGATTTCAGGCTCATAAATATTGACAAATGTTTTGGTTGATGTGATGTAGCTGGAAAATGAAATTTTAATTGCTCCTAATATTACAATCGTTGCAGGTTCTTCTACAGGCATCCTTTGGTAATCTGAATACCCTTGCTGATGTTTCTGAAGAAGTGGTCCAAGGACGTGCTGATTATCACTAATTCCTATGTGAAGCTTTTGAATCATATACTGAAACATGTTACATACACTAGTACAACGTACCGACTAGATGTAGTGGATATGAGTAAGTAAGAATATGTCCTACTAGACAGGCCCATCACTGGGACTTCACTTTTGGATTTCACCTTTGACTGGACTTGCACTAGACTTGAAAAAAAAAAACCCATTAGAAAGCCACATTATTTTGGAAATTTCAAAAATTATTGTTTTACCGTCCCCAATTTGAAGCCTTGGGAGAAAACATGTTTTAAAAACTGAGAAGACAAAACAGCATTCTTTTTCAGAAAGGACATTTGCAACTGAGGAGTAGAGCTGAAACCTGAAATCAAGACGACGTTGATTGCTTTTGCAATTATACCCATGTTTTAATTTCAAAACATTCCAGGTTCAGTTCCAGTCATTTCTTAAATGAGTCAGTTCATCAGTCAGCATGAATGTTCCTCTGGCTTTATTTAAAGCACCTTTCTTTAAAAGTACATAGTTTCATAGCCATACACCTGTACATACAGTATGTCCATAGTTTTATGGAGTTATTCATTGTTTGACATAAAACAGCCTAGGTGAGGATTTGGCAGGTCCCTACCAAATATACTGTACATAACTATTTTTCCTTTGAGCAGTCCTTCTTGTTCTAAGGCAGCATCTCCCCATTTATATGTTTATTCTCAGTTTTCTGGTCTGATAACACTTTAAAGTGCTATGCCCCATTTTGTTGTGGACAATACCTTATTTTGACTATTTTGAGACCAATCATATAAATGTGTTAACTTAAGGGCAAGAAGAATTCCTACAATAAATAAAACTTTTAAGCCATACAAAGGAGATTGAAGAATCTGCTCTACAACTGAGTGGAAAGCACAAAGAATAAAAGAAGAAAATTGGTCTAAATTGCTTGGGTGAAATATAAAGCACTGCCCTTTATTGCACCTTTAGTTGTTTATTGTAGATCTTCATCATGTATCCTTCCTCTAATGAAATCTAATCAAAGCAGGTGATCACCAATCTTTCTCTATGTCATCCCCAAGGGATGGGACAGAATGGCTTGTGCCATTTCTGTTTTTTAAGCACCACAGGAAGCCCTTTTTTTTTGTTTGTATGTATGTATGTATATGCATATGAGTGAGACAGATTAATGTTGCATTGTTTTCATTGGTTATGCTGAGATGTATGAAAAATAGAATATGAAGTAAGGTAGGGAAGTTTGTTGCTTCTGGACTGTTGAATAACTCCTATAAGCTCTAATGACGACTGTCAATATTGGAAGATGAGGGAGTGGTTCTCCTTATTTGTAACATATGGAGTGCGAGAGAGAGATATTGCCAAACATAGCTATAAAATTGACAACCAGCTAACTACCTTTCTTTTATTTCCTAGTGAACTTTACAGATGGAACTTACTTTGTTAGATTTCCTGCAACCATTCTACAACTGCACCTTCCTAAGCTATTTGACTCAGGGCCAGGTAAGTTACATATCTGCAACTAGCAAACCTGAGGGACCACTTTTTCCCCAGAGTTTCTGCCTGTCCAACTAGATCAAATAGTTGCATGAATGCTGCAGACCCTTGCTCTGTGGAACATCTTCCCTTCCACAAAAGTTTAAAAACCTGGCTATGCTCCGAGTTTAGGGCATTACATGCACCAAGGGCCCCACTTCTTGGCTACATGGTTAGTAGGCCAGATGTCTTGCTTTGAATGTATTCAAATTAGATGTTGTAATTTTTAAAAAAAAAAAATTAATGTTTTTTTACTGTTTTTATTGTGTTAAAATGTTTTTAAGATTTTAATTGTAATATAAAAAGCCACCCAGGTCCATTTGCTGAGATTGGCAGCTAAATAAATAAATAAAATAAAATAAATAATTAATTAGATTCATAATTTGCTTTCTTGTGGAAGTCTTAATCAAGAAGGCAAAATAAATACATAATAGATGAACTTTATTTTCATTTATTGCAGGGGATAAAAATAAGGATATATTTTACTCACAAATTATGACTCTTAATTCTAACTCTAGAACATGTCTCACTTCTTATTTCTTTGTATCTCGCAGCTTATTTCACTACCATACTCCTTATCATTTATCGCTCTGGTTTTATTCTTGTATACTTTTACATTTTACTCCTTTGCTTTTCCCCATGCAGAGAGCTCTTGATGTCCATACTTGCTGGCAGTTAATGGGCTTTAGTGATTCTTGGTCACTTTCTAATTAGCTATAGAAAGACCATAGTTCTGGCTGCTGCCCCAGTCCCAAACTCATGTGGCTATTCCTATTCCCACTAATATGGCTGATGGGGCTACTTTTTCCAATGGAGAGCTGCTGGGCCTCTATTTCTTTTACCCCTCCCCCCCCAAAAAAGTTGATGAGAAAAGAAGTGATTTGCACTGGTCACAATGAAGTTCTCCTTCCATAGTCTTTTTGTCCAAGTTGGGGATTTCTCACTTGATATCAGCTAACAGTTCACAAAAATAAAACAAGTTATAGCATATTAGTCCATATTAAGCCAAAGCTTTTGGTTCAAAAAGGGAATTCTAGCTTTATAGAAAAGTTTTGAATTGTGTCATGAAGTTATCCATAGGTGTGACTAGATGTCTTCCCTTTTACTTTCTCTACTTTCTGTTTCGGATAACAGCATTAGAAACATGGTAACCATCACAATAAAAGCATTTTTACGCTATCACAAGCTGCGGATTCTCCTGAAAAGCATAAAACAATACTATCCGAATACAACAGTAATTGTGGCAGATGACAGTGAACACCCAGAGAAGATTGAAGAAGCAAATGTTCAGCGTTACATTATGCCTTTTGGAAAGGTACTATATGTCTATGTGGGGCTTCTCCTTTTAGGACTTCCCGAAAGGATTTTTTCACGAAGTAGTAACAGCTGGGTCTTCTCATAATAAGGTTGCAGAAAGCAGCTTGATGGCCCATGGTACAAGCTGAACTTTATGCCTATCAATTATAAATTAAATAATAAGGTAGTATTCAGTCAACCAAGCAGGGCAAGAGTTCAAGAGAAGGAAGCAGAGAACTTAATAAATTGGGAAGTTAACCTGTTTCCTTATTATTAGGTATCTCATAATAACTTTGTTTCATACTTTCAACTTCCTCTTTTGTTTTCTCTTATATTTTCAACTGAATTAATTCCGAATCTGCATTTTCTGACTCTCTTTTGGATTTTTAATCAGGGCTGGTTTGCAGGGAAGAACCTTGCAATTTCATAGGTCACAACCAAGTATTATCCTTGGGTGGATGATGACTTCACCTTCACTGAAAAAACAAAGATCAAGAAATTTGTGGATGTGTTAGAGAAGAGCAACTTGGATGTGGTAGGATATTCATATCATTGCTTCTCTTTTCTTCTAGTTCATTCTGTTGGTGCCATACATGGAGATTTTCATACTTTGTCTATTCCAGGGAATGACAACATGTGGTAGACAAGATTAAAGATTTTGCCAATTTCACTGAAATATCCCCTGCTAAAATTGCAAGGGACCCCAGAGTTTGCCTAGAAAAGCACTTCTATTCTTTGCATCTTTAAAAATGTGTACACCAACAAGCAATGATATGCAATGATAGCAAGACTGAATAGTCTAAAACAAATTTATATGGGTTACAGGTTGGAAGCAGTGTGGATGGAAATGAATATAAGTTTAAGATGTTCTGTCAGGAAGGAGAAGATAGCAGCTGTTTGTACCTCAGAAGCGGCTTCTACTATCCCTTGGAAGGCTTTCCCAACTGTGTGGTGACTAGTGGTGTAATCAATTTCTTCCTGGCTCATACAGAGGAAAGCAGGCGTGTTGGATTTGATCCTAAGCTACAGAGGGTGGCTCATTTAGGTAAGCCCAAATTCTTCTCCTCTGTTTAATTATATTAGGGCTGCAATCCTTTTCAGAAGCAGATAAATTATACTGCATTCTGGGTTAGTTTGCATACCTTGTTCACAAAAAGCTCAAAACTACAATATTCCAGAGCTACACACCCATCAAAACTGATTCAGAAGGAATGGTTCAGAGTTCACACAAGTACAATATATTTCAGATGTTCATTAAAGTAGCCCATTTGTTCCAGGTTTCTCCTCCTGAGAAAGAGATGCTGCTGCTTTAGAGAATTTCATTAATTTTAATGAATTTACTCTTTATAGTTTGTAATGGCAGCAGAAAGATGATTGGTTCATGTGAGGTTCATTCCTATCATTACTTCCAAATAATTTCCTAAGTCTATACCGTCCTCCAAATTTCATTCCTATCTTATTCAGGTCAGGGAGAAAATTCTAATTTAGTTTTTATATCTTTTAAATTATAATCTTTTGACAATACTTGTGAGTAAGCTCTAATTCATATATTTAAAAATCTATTAACGAATATTATCAGGACAAATGCTTATTTTTTATGATATACATCAGTTAGTCACTTGTTGAGGAGAATGGCTATAGAAATCAACGAGAGGGATATGCAAATTTTTACTTCTCACCCTCAGGACTTTTCAAATATTATTCTGAAGTTTTGACTTTTTTGTTATGAGCAGATTTTGATCCTCAACAATTCTACAAAATGATTTTCTGAGAAAAAAGTTATCTATCAATAGTTCTTTAATACTTATATTTATTTTTAAACAACTGTGTGGTAAGGCTGCCACACAGAACTTACTGATACAGTTATCTTTGATTCCATGAAAAAAAAGTTTTGTATTTATATGGAAAGAATATATGTAAACACAGAGACCATGCTAGCCCTGCTCTCATACTACTGAGAAGGGATGTCTGTAGCAGAATTGACTCTGGAGTAGGAACTCCCTATAGTGGACAATCCCTGTGCAATTGTGGTTGAAAATAAATATTCATGAAAAAATACCTTTTCCCTTTCTAGCATTTGTTTTCATCCCATAGGCCTTCTGGGTGGATTCCACTTTCTTCTAAACACCTCCCCTGTGTGAGGAAGACAAACATAAATACAATTCTTGCAGGCTATTTTTTTTAAATGCTTTGTATAATTAACATGGGTGCCTCTCTCCATTTCTCTCTTTCCAGAATTTTTTATGGATGGGCTTGGAAGCTTGCAGGTTGGCTCCTGCAATGATGTTATCATTGGTCACCAGTCACACCAAATTTCCACCAACATACTAAGAAGCTAATGTTGAAAAATTGTATGATAGATTTCGGAATAGCTTTCAGAAAGAGCGTTGGGCTTACCTAAAACGCATCTTCTAGTTGTACGGGAGGAGAATCCAAAGCATGGGCTGTCTCTCCTGCTTCCTTGCTTAAAGACGGAGTCAATCAAAGTTTAGTCCAGCCCCCTTTCCACTGCGCATGCCCAGTTTTTGATGAAGGCTGATGATTGACTTGGAGAGTTCTTTGGTGCTCGTTCTTGACTGTTCTGAGCTCGAGACTATCTAAGGGTGGGATTTGGATTCTTCTCCCATACAACTAGAAGACGCGTTTCAGGTAAGCCTAACGCTCTTTCTCAGTTGTACGGGTCGGAGAATCCAAAGAGTGGGACGTACCCAAGCTAATTGACCTAAGGATGGGCCAACTCCTTGTCCCAAGCCCCCATTTCCATGTGAACTCTTTGTAGCACTCATCTTCCAAAGGATTCTTCTGCTGATGCAAATGTATCCTGTTTATAATTTCTGATGAATGGAGATAGTGTTGACCATGTTGCTGCCCTACAGATCTCTTAAATCGAGGCCTGTGTTCCATGCCGCTGATGTGGCTGCACTCCTGGTTGAATGTGCAGTTATGTTACCCGGCAATTGCAATGATTGGCTTTCGTAAGCTTTTGTGATACATGTCTTGATCCATCTGCCTATGGTAGACGGTGAAACCTTTTGTCCCAACAAACTCTGTCTAAATGAAACAAACAATGCTTCTGTTTTTCTAATGGGCCTTGTTCTCTTAATATAAATGCGTATAGCTCTCCTAACATCCAAGGAGTGCCACTTCCTTTCTAGGCTATGGACTGGTTCTGGGCAGAAGTCTGGTAGTACTAACTCTTGTGCTCTATGGAAGGTAGAATTGATCTTTGGGATAAAGGTCGGATCTAATCTTAATACTACACTATTCGGGTGAACTATACAGAGGTAATGCTGCCAACTCTTGAAATTCTTCTGGCTGATGTAATGGCTATTAGGAAGGCCACCTTAAGGGTGAGTGAAGGTAGTCCTACTGACCTCAGCAGCTCAAAGGGCTCAGTCAAGAGCGCCCTTAGCACCCTTGTCAAGTTCCAAGTAGAGTACCTGTGTATCACTGGTGGCTTTAGATTGATTGCTCCCCTGATGAACGTGCGGATTAGGGGGTATCGTGAGAGGGACTCTGAGGTCCCGCAACCCAACACTGAAGCTATCGCTGCTACCTGCCTCCGTAAGGTGTTAGGGGTTAAACCCTTCTCCAGGTCTTCCTGGAGAAAATCCAGCACTTGAGTAACTAACACTATGGTTGGATCTATTTGTTTCTTGGAACACCAGGTTCCAAATGCTCTCCAAGTAGCATCATAAATTCTGTTGGTTGATGGTCTCCTGGATGCCTGGAGTGTCTGTGTTACCTTGTCTGAGCACTCTAAATGCTTTAGTGTGGTCCTCTCAAGTGCCATACGGTTAGTTGCAGCCATTGTGGCTCTGGGTGTCGTATGGCTCCCTGATTCAGTTCTACCTTGTCTGGGGGAATTCTCCATGGTCTGGATACCAACAGTTGTACCAGATCCGCGTACCAAGACCTCCTGGGCCAATGAGGTGTTGCCATTAAGACCTCTCTTCTATCACTTTCTGGATTCCCCTTGGTATCAAGGGAAGTGGGGGGGATGCGTAGAGCAAACCCCTTGGCCATGCTTCTTGGAGCGCATTGATTCCTTCCGCTCCCTGTGTTGAGAATCTCGAGTAGAATCTCGGGAGTGCGCATTTGCTGGCGTCGCAAACAGGTCCAGGACTGCTTTCCCGAATCTGTGCAACAGTTCACTGAACAGGTCCAAGTGTAGGCACCACTCTGAGTGGTTGACCATTGTTCTGCTGATCCAATCTGCCCGAACATTTTCCACTCCTGATATGTGTTCCGTCCTGATTGATAGAGGGTGTGTCTCTGCCCAGTGGCCCAATTGCTCTGCTTCTTGCATGAGCGCTAGGGGGTGAGTACCTCCCTGCCTGTTGATATGAGCCTTGGCGGTCACGTCTGTCAGGATCAACACATGCTGTCCCACTATCACTGATCTGAAGGCCCTTAGAGCCAGATGAGATGCCCTGAGCTCCAACCAGTTGATGTTGTTCTTGAGGTCTCACTGAGATCACTGACCCTGTGTTATCTGGCTCTGACAGTGGGCTCCCCAGCCTACTAAACTTGCATCTGTTGTGATAGTCAGTCAGGTGGGTTCCTTGACCCCACAACCCCCCGTCACTGCAGGTGATCTCCACCACTGGAGTGACTGCATCACTCGGGGGGGGGGGGGGGGACTTGTACCTTGGTTCTTGTATTGCCTTTGCCTGCTCTCTGGTAAGGTAATAGGAACCACTGCAATGTCCTTGCATGCAGCCTGGCCCAAAGTACTATTGAGATGCACAATATCATCTTCCCTAGCATTTATGACAGCAAGTCCAGGGACACCCCCGGAGCTGTGCTCACTTGATTTATTGATGACCTTATGTTGACCTGCCTTTCCTGTGACAGGTAAACCTCGCAGGAGTTGGTGTCTATTACAGCTCCTAAGTCTTGTAATTACCTGGTCAGTTCTAAGTGGCTCTTTTCAAAATTCACCGAAAAGCCATGCTCTTGTAATGTCTGTATCATGGTTTCTAGATTGCACTGTGTTCTTAAGAGTCGACGTTGATTGTATTAATATGTCTAAGTAGCATTGGACCCATATGGGCTTTGTCCTGAGGAAGGCTCCTATTGCTTTCAGGACCTTGGTGAAAGTCCTCGATGCTGAGGACAGGCCGAATGGTAGAGCCCCATACTGGTAGTGTCTCCCTGCGTAACCAAACCGCAGGAACTTCCGATGCCTCCTGGTAATAGGTATGTGTAGGTAAGCATCTGTGAGGTCTACTAATGTCAGGACATCCCTCTCCCATATGCTCCCTAGTATAACTTGCAGGGGCTGCATCTTGAATCTCCTGTATACTATGTGCCTGTTTAGTACTTTGAGATCCAAAATTGATCTCCACCCCCCCGATGCCTTTTGCACAGCAAACAGGTTTGAATAGAACCCTTGTCCCTGTTCATTCTCTGGTACCACTTGTACCACCAGCAGATATTGAACTGCTGTTTCCATAATTACCCTTTTGGTTCTGTCCCTTGGCATTGGGCATCTTCTGAATGAGCTCAAGGGTATGGAGATGAATTCCAGAACCAGGCCTTTTCTTAATGTGTCTAGGACCCACTTGTCCGTTGTAGTCAACACCCATCGCTTGGTGAATAGGCCCAGCCTCCTGCCAATTGGCACATTGTTCTGGCTATCACTTCGTATGCCAGAAGGCCCTGCTGGTCGAACTCTGGAAGGGACACCTTCCCTGGGACTGTTGTCCACCCCTATCTCTAAATCCTGACCTATCTGGATGTCTAGTAGGGGTCTGTGTGTGTACTGTCTCTGTGTGTATGGGGAGTGGCTGAAGCCACCCCCAAGATAGGAAAGGGCTGTTGCTGTGTATATGGAGAAGGTCGCCTATCTGCCTGACCAAGTTTCCTGGGTAAGACCTTCTTGTCCTTGGTTTCAAACAGTAATGGCTCAATGGCCTCCCCGAAAATTTTGTCCCCTTTAACTGGAGCTGATGCCAGTTTCCATTTATGTTTCAGATCTGCCTGCCAGTGGCGGAGCCAAACAAGTTGCCTTGCAGCTACTGAAGCTACAATGCAGCAGTTATTTTGTTCAAACCCGGTTGCAATCGAAGGCATCCTTTCGTGGCATCCTTTCCTGCATCTGTTCAATCCGTATCAGGACTGCTTTTCTGAAAAATGATGCCATGGATGTTGCCTTTACCACCCATGCCGCAGCCTGGTGAACTTTTTGTAGGGTCTGTTCTGTTTTCTTATCCTCCCCTTTTAGACCATCCTCAGCTTCGTTAGCCAACACTGTAGCAGACGTGGAGGCTGCCACAAGGCTATCTATCATGGGAACTGGGAATAGGTCCGCTAATTCTGCATTATAAAATTTCCTCTCATTCTCCCCTGGCATTGGAAAAATAACTGGTCTGTTCAACTGACCTTCCACCACTTCCCTGAACAATTCAGATGAAGGTATGGATTCACTTTCAACCTTGGTTCTGGCAAAGAATCTATCTTTGGGATCAGATAGCTCTAACTCAGACCCTTCTGTCCCTGTGATTCTCCCCAGGCCTGTTGCTATCTTAGCCTTCCCCAGCAGCATCTTAAACAGCTGGTGACGAAATAGACCTGTGAACATTGGAATTTCTGGTTCATTAGTTTCTTCATCTGAGAAAGCTACTCCTTATATTCTTCCTCTCTTGAAACAGAGGCCTCACTGTGAGTGTCTGATCTACTGGAACTGTCTCCCTGGAAGCCCAGTTCCTCCTGATGAGCCTCCCGTCTCCTCTCATTACGTCTCAGGCTGGGTCTGTTACCCTGACTGTCCCTGAATTCTGCCATCATCTCTTTCATCATAGCCCTCATTTCCTCTTTAAAGGACTGTTCCCTGACTTTCGATGCTGTGGAGGAAGAACTAGACTCAGTTGAAAATCTCTTTCTCTTGGGGGAGGGCTCTTCATTGCATGCCTGAGAGCACTGTCTTTCTGAGTCACTCAATCCTTCATTCACACCAAGAGCAGGCTGAAAAGGCTGATCTTCACCGCCCTCTAGTGTTGCACTCTTTTCCTGATACTTCGCTTTCATTGGTTTGCCTGTTGGGAGCGTGGGAATTTCCATTCTTCTCCGCCTCCTTTTCCGCCCTTGGGAAGCATTTCTCAATGGCCCTTTGTCTCCTTAATGCCTCCCTCTCCTCTGCCTGACGCCCTGCTGAAGTTCTTTCTGAAGCTCTCCCAGCCTCTCTGGGTTCCTTTGTGCTTTGCTGTCTGTTCAAACTGTGGGGCAGGGGATTCCTGCTCCTCCAGGCTTGCCTCTGTTTCAGAAAATTCGGCCATGGTCTTTCCCTTTGGCTTTTGCCGATAGAGTATATTCAGACCGGTCTGAGCATGGACTCTAGCCTCCCTTTCTCCTGGGTAGGCTTGTGTGGCTGTGATGGAAGCTTGCTCGGCCTAAGACTGAGTTTGCCCCAATTAAAGAGAGCGCTGGAGGCTTGTGCGGCTTCTGGTTTGTTTAATGAGGCTCTAGGAAAGCTGAGTTAATTTGCTCTCCTTCTTTCCTAGCCAATTGAGAGCCCGCCCGCTCTTACTGAGGCTTCTGCTGCTTATTCTCTTAACACCAAACAGCTATGTGGGCTTTCCCGTCTTGGGATGAGGTCCTGGCTTTTTCGCTTACTCACGGTTTGCTGACTTTCACTCTCTTTTCTTTTTTTCTCGAAGAATCCAAAGCGTTGATCCTATATTTTCTATCTTTCTTTCTGAGCACTCTCTCCTCGTGTCTTCTTTGCATGAAGACGGAGTAAAAAACTGGGCATGCGCAGTGGAAAGGGGGCTGGACTAAACTTTGATTGACTGCATCTTTAGGCAAGGAAGCAGGAGACAGCCCACGCTTTGGATTCTCCGACCTGTACAACTGAGAAAGAACTTAGGTTTAAACTGCCCTTACATTACTTTAAGAACAGAATGAAATGCTATTCAAAGGGCAGATTGATTCTTCCAAGTCTGAATAGTTTTGGAATGAATTCAGCAACTTTTAATTATTTTGTTTTAGGAGCTGTACTTTTCCTCTTTGACAACTCAGTGTTTTACAGACTTCATTAAAAAATGATGGTTTTTAGTGTCCTTTGTGAATCTTCTCTACTGTGGAAGTTCTAATAGAAGAATTCTTTCTTCCAGCTCTTTATATATTTAACAATAAATATGCACTGGATTAAGTTCCATCAGGTTTGCTGCTCTTGTACCTATACAATTATTTTAGGGGAAAGTTGATCAAACTTGGTGGAAAATATTTCCCCTCCCCTTCCTTCAATGAGGTCAAGTTAGGATATGCTTCCTATTCCTAGATAAGTTGTACAACTAATGAGAATATTTGTTTGCCATCTTGTGCTCTGCGGTTTCTCCTTCATTTGATTTTTTTTATTAATTTTTGCCAATCTCCCTACAAGGATTTTTCATAGGCATTCTTCAAAAAGCACAATGCTTATACTAAACTAACAATAGTCTTGTTGCAGCCTAAAAGATGTTCACATGGAGTGTGGCAAAGGTCTGTCAATGTGTCAAATTCAGAATAACCCAGGGGTGGAATTCTACCAGTTCGCTCCTATTTGCTAGAACTGGTTAACATTCTAAGCAGTTCAGAGAACCGGTTGTTAGAAGAAATTACTGGCCTAATCCTGTAAGGAAGGCAGGAGGGAAACATTCTGGTGTTGCTTACAGAAACTGCCTCTCCGTTAACCCTTATTACATTCTTGGCACGACTAGACTTCCTGCCTATGGAACGTCTCTGGAGTTTTCTTTCCCTCTTTTGCTGGTACTTTGCTTGTGTGGAGTGACCATTCAAAGTTACAATGGCACCGAAAAACATGACTTAAGACCATTTTTCAAACTTACGAGCAGCATCCCCACAGTCATGAGAGGCCAGGCAGGAAGATGCGTGCCTCGATATGAGTGATGTTGAGTTGGCCACGCCCAGTCAATAACATGACTACCAAGCCACGCCCACCCATCACATGACCAAGCCACGCCCACCAACTAAGCCACCTCCAAAAAACTAGTTGTTAAAAAATTTGAATCCCACTCCTGGAATAACCTGAATAAAGTATGATAACTAGTGATTTCCTTAACTACGGAAAGAAAGGTTGAAAAATGGGACAAAACTCACTTAACTATCTTGTTTAGCAATAGAAATTTTGGGCTCAATTGTGGTCGTAAGTCGAGGAATACTTCTACTGTTCCCATTGCTATGTGCTATGTTGCTCCACTGTAAACAATATAAATCTACAATCCTTCTATCTGTACGTTCTTTGCATTCTTTCCTGATCTACAAGCCCAATTACACTCGGGAAGGATTCTGTGTGTGGGTATGTGTGTCTGTATGGTCTATAAATTTTATACCAATTGCAATTTTGTTTTTGTTGTTGTTAAAGAAAAGATCTTACCCAATAACCCATCTAGAAATTATAGGATAGATTTGGATCCTAGAAATTTTGCAGCTTTTGCAAAACAAATCTCAGAGTTGGTAATATTGAAGAGCCAAAAACTACAAAGCAAGAGATCTCTGTTCTGAATTTCCTTTTCAGTCATCTTCATGGTATCCTTCAGCCAGCCACTCTTCTCTTACTTTCAGTTTCGCTACACCATTCACTTGCAACATGGATTTAATAATACTTAATTACCTAAATAAAATGTGGAAATAATTACTCATGGAAAACAGAGCAAATGGATTTTTTCCTCCTTTTTATTTAAAAAAATGAAACAGTGGAGTAAAGCAGTTTGTGGCAGTAAACAAGCTGGAAGAAAAATGGAGCCAGTGTCCATCTGTAATCACAACTTTGGATCTGAGCCAACTAATCTGCCTCATGCAAAAGACAAGGGGTCAAAGAACAGAGATTTTTTAAAAAAAGGAAAATTAAGCAGAGAAAGTGTTTAAAAAAAATACAGCAGATCAAAGAGAGGAAAATAATTACTCAAGAGTACAATTTTCAAGGCCTGAATTCATAACAGTTTCGATGGCTTAGAACATAAGGTCTGACACATTTCACAAAATTATTACATGGAGCAAAATTTCCTTTCCAAATTCACACAAGTTATTTGTTTTTACATAAAAATGATTTGTCTAATACATTTGTAGCAACTGATTATTCTAACAGAAGATCCAAAAGCATTATTTCTCAATCTCAGCCACTTTAAGATGCCACAGGTCGGGGGAAATCTGGGAGTTAAAAGTTCATGCTTCTTAAACTGACTGAAATTGAGAAACATTGACATAGAGTAACAAAATAGTTTTACATCAATGGAAGATGTGAGATTTTTTTTCCTCATTACCCACAAATTTGTTTTAAAAGATTACAGAAATTCATGGAAACAACCATGCATCAAGGAAATTCTATTGAACCTCCATCTTTGAGGCAGTGAACCAGATGATGACAGCAAGCAATAAGGATTGGCAAATTACCGACACAATTTGCTGAGCTACCAGTTTCTCTTGTCACTTGAAACAAAATGTTAGTTTAGATTAATAGTAGCCTCGGTCACTTATTCAATAAAACAGCCCTTTATGATTCCTTCTACTGTGTTCATTAATTTGATAAACTGCCAATAAAACAACTTTTTTAAAAAATGCAACAAGGTTGTCCAGCATTATTGAAGGAGGGTATAAAAGAGTTACAAAAAGACCATGCACTTGTGTGTCTAAGGCACAATTTCAATTAAACACTGATAGTTGTGTAAGCTGGTCAGCACTTATGTTAAGAACGTTGAAAGAAAATGGTACACGAGTTCTGATATGAATTATTAGGAAAAAGAAGGAAGAAACGTGTGTGTGTGTGTGTGTGTATATATATATATATATATAAATATATATATATATATTTATATATATATATTTAAAAAGTCATTAAAGGAGGGAAAGAATGACTGAGGTGTTGGGGTTCTTACAAACTAACAAACACTTCAAAAATCAAGGTTGATCAACTGTAATGGTGGTAATGCAGCCTCAGTGGAACCCAAGCAATTCTTCCTAGCTTTATGTCACTAGCTTGTAGGCATGAGTTGTTTGGCAGTGCTCACAATAAGCAAACTGCTTTCCAGTCTCTGTGTGCTTTTGTTCTCAAATCAATTAAAGGAGGTAAAGAGATACCCATTTTACAGACTGGAAATGCTAAGGCTTGGGAAAATCAGGATTCCAGGTCCAACAAAGATAAACTCTGCTGATCAGGTTTCCACAATCCACAATACCAGGTATGTACCCAGCAGTCCTGCTTGATTGTAAGGGAACTGTGTTGTTGCAAGCTCCACATGCAACAGCCATGCTTGGGCGGCTTTTGTCTGCCTCCATTGCTCACTGGATTAGGGCAAATAGCTCATCAAATACCTCAGTATTGATTCCAGGGCAGGAACCCCAATGTGGGTACCTACTGAGCTGACTAAGCTGCACTGGAAAGTGTTGACTTTGTTAGACATATGGCCAGCACACTATCTCCTTACCAGCAATGCAGAAACCAAACCTCTTGCCCATAATTCCATAGCTCTCTGTATCTTACCAAGACTGCTTTAGAATGCGGAGAGAGCCCTTAGTTCTATTTAAAAAACAACAACAACACTTTAAGCAGAACGATTATTGGGGGGGGGGATTTTTTTCTCCCTAGACTACATAGTATGTTGTATTATCACTACCTAATTAATTATTTAAATCTATAGGTGCTAAGAGGTAGATAAAACAAACATGAATTGGTTATATTCATATCATATGTATGTATATATGATCATCATGCCCTTAGGCTGACATGAAGTGCAGCTCAACAGGCACTTAACAGGGTACCAATGAGAGGTTGGGAGGACTGACTTATGATTTAGTGGCACCCAACCTGAACCAGGAGTTATTATCTCTGGCTCATGATTAACATGGAATTCATGGAATGGCTGTGATTAATAAAGAGAGTGAAGGACATGGCTTGAATTCCTATTGCTGAAAAATATCTGTAACAGGCAGCGTGTTAAAAAACAGAAGTGAGCTTCTACATTTGGTAGAACTCTTCTTTAAGCTCACCTTTTCAAGTAAAAATTAGAATCTGAGTTGATTCCAAGCTGGGTCCAAACAGCTGCTATGCATAAAGCAGAAATATTAAATCAGTGGTAGTTACACTGAATCTAACTTAAATCCCATCAATTTCAATTGACTTACTAAGTCTAGATCTAACTCATGCTGCAAGGATTAAATTTGTACAGATGTTAGAGATTTTATTTATGCTTCCTTTAGGAAAATAATATCCAAAACACAGAGTTTGCAGCATTAGCCCATTACATTACCCTTGGAAGGCAAGTAACAGCTAAAGAAAAACATTATTTTTCATTAATAAATGCCTATAATCTTTTGAGATTTAGGTAGATACATGTTTTTCCTTCTCAGAAGGAAATCTCAGAAGGAAATCTAATGTTTGTTGATGCTATCAATCAGAAATTTCATTAAAAGTAGTTAATTAAAAGCTCAAAATAAATTGAGCTGCAAGTTATTTAGTTTCATGGGAAGGATGTCCTTTTCATTTTTATTTTCCTTTTAAATTGAACAATCAGAAAAGCCTGCTTCAGTTATGGAATCAGGACTCTCTCCATCCAACACCCCCACCCTTAGCAACTGCTTAACTGAACAATCACAGCCACTCCAGATTGTAAATGTCATCACAGGAACGGGAAAATGGCTAAACATATAAACGTTTTGCAGGAAAGCCAACCTCACTGACTCAGAAGGACAAGGCTTTAAACAAACAAAAATACAATGCCTAAAGCGTTGCCCTGTTGTGCCTGTACACCAACCACCAAGTTGGAGAGGTATTTTATCTTTGAAAAGTCAAAGTTTAAAAATAAGATCCTGTAATAAAGTATCAGGATTCAAATTGATGTTAAATTAAGTGTGTGAAAAGGGTGCTTTTAAAAGAGTGGGTTGGTTTTTAGAAAGCTGTGCAAAAAGATAGCAATTTACAGCCTGCAAATGTAACCACTTCTTAAGCCAGGCATTATAAATTACTAGCTTTGTATATGGTTCAAACACATACTTTGGCTGTGTCTGCACACTGCACTAAGACATAATGTTACTTGTTTCAATTTGATATATTATGATATGTGAAACCAGGCCTTATAGTTGTAAACAATTTATGGCTTAGTAATATCTAAGAAATAAAATAGCGTAGCTTGTACAACAAGCCAG